CAACGGGCGACGGGAACCAGTTGATGAATCAAGCCCTGATTGATTTTGATTGTTTCTTTTTTGAGAAACTCCGGCTCACTGTTCGGGAGCACCGCCCTTTCCACACAACATCAATATGCCCAACGCAATCAATTGAAGGATACCTGCCTCATCCCTGGTTGTTTGGGGCCGGATGGCGGGAAAGGAACCCATGATTTGCGAGCCAACATAATAAATCATTTTTCAAAATGTGTGCAAGCCATGTTGGGGGGGTATGACTTACTTATTGGGGAAGAACACGCTATTCATTTGCCAGCTTTGTTGAGGCGTTTCATGGTTGGCCAAGGGAATCCCATTAAACTGATAAGCTATTCATGGAAATTGTCCATTTTGGTATCGTTGAAAGGATATAATTTCCAGACTCGTGCCCCTATTTGATGGGTTGGAGCACGGCGGCTTGGAGCGGCTTGGGGGTGTTTATAGCAGGTTTGTTTGCTTTTTCTTAGGGGAACCGTTTTGGGTCTGTCTTGAAGGGAAGCCCAAGGGCTATGAGCTTCAACGTGGAACCAGTTCTACAACACGTCTTTACCAGGTTTTATATAGCATTTGTTTGTAGTCCAAGTCCTCGCAACGGGTTGTTCAAACACATATTTGGAGACTTGTATTGAACTCATTGTTCAAACATGATGAGCATTCCAGCTGTTCCGGTCCTCCGTTTTTTTTGCTCTTTGGATCGTGAGGAGCCCCAGATGAGCTTTCCTCCGCGGCCGTGCGCATCGACCTGGACGCTGCGCCGAAGCTTCCGGAGCCGCGGCAGGAGCTCTCGCCGCTAGAATTGGCCATGCCGTCGGCTGGCCCAAGTGAACCAGGCATCGGTCGCCGCGCCGGGCGACCTTGCCAAATGAACCCAGAGGCCACTGCTGAACTTGGCCCGGAGGCTTCACCCACATCGCCCCAGTGCGAGTTGCTAGTCTGCAAGAGTTGCCGTGCGTGGAAACTCACAAGCTGCACAGCTGGTCTTTGGGAAATCCTTCAATGTTTGAGGGAGTTTTGCACATCCGCAAATGCGCTAATCAGCTTTCAATGATTTGGGATGCCTTTTGCTGGTTGGTGAACAAGACAAACAGTTGCAGTGCCTGACAACTGCAGACACCGTTCCACGCTCTGGGACTTGCCAATCCGCATCTTTATCTTTTTCGTAAAGTTGTCCTCTCTTTGTTTGTTTTGAAGGGACCAACGGGTTTTTTTTTGTTTGTGGTTCCCCCTCTGAAAACTGGGCCCCGAGCATGTTTTGTAGTTTCTCCGGCCAGTCGGTCTGTCGGTCGGTCGGCCGCCTGGTGTGATTTCGGGTTTTTCTTCGGGCTGGCTTTTGGCTTTTGTGTGAGTAGTTGTGGCTTAAGGCGGCTTTGTGGCTTTGGAAACCCGAAGAAATCCAATGCTCTCAACCCACCTTTCGGCGGCTTGTTGCAAGTTGTCGCGGCTTTCGGTTTCGTTTTCGACTAAACTCATCCTACACCAACCCTACCCACGCCACAACTAAACCAGCCAGAGAAACCTCAAACCCACCCTAAACAATTCTAAACCCACCCCAAAACCGGCCTTGAGCCAGCCCTAAACGAACCCCGGCCAAGAGATGGCTAACAGTGGTGGAAAGAGGGGAGATTCTATCCCTTCTTTCCCCCAAGTGTAAGATCTCAACGTTTGGAGGTATAAAGTGATGGCCATCTCCTTTTCATGTACAAGCTTGACGTGGAAATGCTCTCCAGAAAGCTCTCAATCCAGAGAATTAATGATCCAGAAACACAGAGAGACATAATTAATGGGACTTATACTACCAATACTTCATTCTTGTACACATTATTATGTGTAAACCTTGGTGTTTTAGTGCCCACTCAACCTGGGAAAACCATGAACATTGTGCTTGCCGCCACCCGTCTCTTGGCGCATCCCAGCTCAGGATCCGCTGCTCCTGGCAGCAGGAGCAATGTCTGTGGTTTAGGATGCAATTTTTCCCCATGAAAGCTATCCTCACTCCAATCATGGAAGCTGCCAGAAGGGTTTTAGAAGACTACAGTCCTCTTGAAGAGACGATCTGCTCATTGCTATGATTGTTGGAGCCCGCAAGAATGGTGGACGTACATCCTCATGTAGATTGTGCCCACCAGAACGTTTCCAATGAACATTAATTGCTGTGTCAAGCTTGGCTGGGATACCTTGCAAGGGACCCCCACATAGCAATCGTCAAGCATTTGTCTGCAGTGCGAAGGGGCTGAATAGCTTATAAAACTTGCCAAACATTTGGAGCCTTTTGCTGCTGCAAAAGGGCTGAAAGGAGGCACCACCTATTTTGAGGGTTCCATTTGGTGGTGGTCTCACGTGGCGTGAGTTTGGTTATAGCAAGGCCTACATGGGATCTTGGTAGAACTACATGTCACAAACACACTCCTTGGGACCCTTCTTGAGGAAGACTCAAAATTAGTTTGGTGTGTGTGTGTGTGTGTGTGTGTGTGGGTGTGGGTGTGGGTGTGGGTGTGCGTGTGCGTGTACGTGTGCGTTTTGTGCGCTTGCGTGCGTGCGTGCGTGCGTGCGTGCGTGCGTGCACTTGCGTGCGTGCGCGCGCACCCGCTGTTCCAAAGATGCCACATGCGGACCACTGATTCAAAAGTACCTCAAGATTGGCGATGCCGCCTGATGAGAAAGCCGCTCCCGAGCGAAATTGTCTCAGCAAAAAAGCTCCTCCTTTCCGATTTAGGATTCTGTGTCAGTTTCGGCTTTTGCTTCAGAGGATGCCTACGCATTCATGCAGACTCATCTAGCAAACGTGCTAGAACAAGCCACTGGGCTTGGGGCACTTATGAGATCTCCAGGACGTGGCGCAGACATGGCAACGAGGCGAGAGAATGAGAGGGGAGTTGCCCAGCCAGCACAACACCTAGCGAACATATCAGCACAAAGTGGTGCATTTTGAGGGCCCGTTCTCAGTTCCCCAATGACTTTAGGGTCTTGGTGGGGAAACTCCTTCAAACCACCAGTTGGCTCGGGCAATTTTGATGTCTAATCGCTTGCCAGTTGGCTTTCCCTGGTTCTTTGCCTGTTTTGGGTAGACTCTGGGTTTGGATTAGTGTGTTGGCAAGCAAGGATTGAACAACTCACTTCCCAGTTCTGGCGAACTCGAACTTCGGAGCGCGGACTTACATTTGTCCATGGGCAATCTTTGAGACATTGCTCGACTTCCCATTTCAACTTCCACCAGGGCAGAGATACCTCCTGGAACCCCGTATGCGGAAACCGCATATTTCGCACGTGGCCCATGTGGCAAGCAGATCTCTTTGCAAACTTGGGAATGTATCCTGGGTACATGATAGCATTCCAAACACAAGCTCCGCTCCTTGGTTTGTTTGACCGCAGGCGAGAAAACGAGGTGCAACAGCGTACGGCGTGAACATGTGTGACACATGAGCCGCCGAGCGTGCATCCCTAACTTTGGTGGCGGTTTTACAAGCAAAGTAAGAAGTCCACCGCTTGGAAACGTAACTTTGGCGTGTTCTCATTCATGCCTTGACGCCGGGTGCAACTGGAGTGACAACCTAGTGGCAGTCTGGAAACCATAGAAGCGAATTGTGCACGGCCGACAAGAGGGAACTGAGGACATGTTTCAGCCGCGATAGCAGACTTCATTGGGTTGCCGGCAGGCACAGACCGGTTGACGCCCATCGCGGCTGAAGCAATGCGGCCGACGCGACGGCACACGCGTGAGGCATTTGTTGCATAGACAAGGGCTGCTTCTGCAGACTTGGGAGTTCTGATTGTTTGTGCCTGGTCGGTGAGCTGGGGGGCGCGGGGGGTTGACACCTTAAAACAGCAGATGGCCCTTTGGCGCATTTTGGCACCCTGGAAGTCAAAACAAAGAACGGTCTACCATAAACTGTCATCTTATGTCGTCTTCCCTCAAAACAAACAACCTGAGCGGAAGGTCTGGTTTAAAAGTCGTTTCGAAGAAAGGCATGCGCAACTTGACCCGTGCCCCTGAAGGTTGCCCCCGAGCTCGAGCTTGAGGCAAATGACTCTGAGATGGCGGGCTCGGACTCTGAGAGCGACCCAGTTTTGGAGAGCTTTATGCAGCAGCTGTTTGCGCCCATCTTCGGTGATGGGCACCTGACGCCTGGGAGTGGGCAGTTGCCTGGCCTCGATGCTGTGGCCAGATAATGTTCCCGGTCTTCGCACTTTTTTTGTGTCCGGGCCTTGCGCAGTCCAATGTGAATCGCCTCAAGAGACGCCTGTTCAGATTCTTGGGGCTTCTTTGGAATTGAACTTGCATGCAAGCTCCTGAAAGGAGCTGTGCTTGCAGGTTTCTCAACGTTTGCTGACGATTTGATCTCAGCTGAAATAGCCTTTCACAGCTCAAAGCAAGCTCGCTAGAGCCAAGGGACCTTCCCTTACCACCGACAAGAATGCCTGCCTTCTTGGGCAGAAAACGTGCGAGCGCATGTGGCATGTGCTAAGGCAGGGTGCGAAGGAAAGCGAATCGTAGTTCTGGGACACATCAGTTGTCAGAGAAAGGTACTCCTTCAAAAAATTTAACGTTGTTGAAACTATACATGAGCAGCTTACCTTTTTGTTAGTTGGAGAAAACGTGGGCATAGGGTCCACCCAAAGTCTCTGCAAAAAACCAGGGCACCACCCAATTTGGGATACCAAGCATTTGGGTAGGTCAGGGTTTCGAAGACGAAAGCTTGTCTTTCAGGGATCCTCGCTAGTCCACTTCCATTTGGAAAGAGGGTACCCTTTTTGCTGGTCCCAGCCCCCAAGCCCCCAAACTCCCAAACCCCCAACCCCCCAAACTCCCAAACCCCCAACCCCCCAAACCCCCAACCCCCCCAACCCCCCAACCTCCCAACCCCCCAAACCCCCAACCCCCCAACCCCCCAGCCCCCCAAACCCTCAACCCCCCAACCCCCTCAAACTCCCACCCCCAACCCCAAAGATACCTCAACCAATGAGAGGGGATCCTTGGAGCTGAGGACTGGCGACTGCTCGTGCTGAGGGCAGCCTCCCTGGAGGCGACTCGGACTGGACGAATCCACAAATCCGTGGCCAAGAAGGGTTTGCATTGGCAGTCATTGTGAGACATTCTCTTTCCGAGTTTTTGGAGCATGAGAAGGTCTAGGATTCCAACTAGTTTTATCGTGAACAGGACCTTTCTTGGGATTGGTGGCGTATCAACCAGTTTGGAAATCAGGTTTCATCCATCATGCAGCGAAACGGATTTTCTCCAGCCACAATGCCTTGTCTTGGTCTGTGCTTTGACCTTGCTCAAGGCATGTTCGTTCCCCTACCAATTTGCAAACCGTTCCGCTTCTGCAGAGGCTCAGAGACCAACCCGGTTTTCAGGGTTTTTCGGGCCCTCTACACTGCACTTAGTTGCTCCACATATTTCTCCCAGAGGAAACTCCAACCGCTCAGCTGAACGTGACACCGAAGCCCTCGTTCGGCAGGTGCCCGAGACCCTCTCCCTGCATGGAGACCCAGACAGGTCGATGCCAGGGTTTGTCCAGCTTTTGTTTTTTAACAATCAGAATCGGGACCGGCCAATTTGATTTGCAAGTTGTTTGTTGGGGTCATTGGGGGGAGATTGGGCCTTTGAGGAAAAGGGCTCGTTTCTGAGCACGCTAGGGTAAGCGGAGCGGTTCTGGGCAGTTCTTTGTAAGGCGCCCGCATTTGGCGTTCCACATGAATTCAGAGAAAAACCACTCATTTCAGGGGTTCCTCGAATTTAAGACAACATATATAAATTGGTTTGCCGAATGCCGCGTTGGCCACACACCGAATCAAATGTTGACCCCTGAAAATTACGAGAGCTTTTTGGATGTGGCGCAAGATATCCCAGTGCCACTTTCCTCAAGCGCTGCCCTGAGTTCTAGTTTAGGAGCAAATCAACACATGCCTAAGGGACCCGTGTGGTGGGGTGTACAGGTCCCCTTGAGATGAAGGTGTCTTCAGATTGTGTGGTGTTCAAGGCAAACCAAGCCAGACATGCCTCTGATCTGCAATTTTCCTGTCCATGGAATTCACCCCAGTCAGGTTCCATTAGCTTCTCAGGTTGCCGGACATGCAGACGGCGGGCGGGGCGGGGGTGAATTGTGGCGAGGCCGTGGCGGCTCCAATGGGAAAAAGGCCAATGTCAGTTCAGCTTCTCCTTGGTGGGTTGATGTTAGGGACAAGGAACCCTGATGTTGACAAAGCGGGCAATTTGAATGCAGGCGGTGAACATTGTTCAAAGTTAAACCTTTGGATGACGTTCAGCTGTCCAGGGGCCTAGTATATAACTGTCTGGGGCACGCTGCGCCACTTGTTGGCTGGTCAGCGGAAAACTCAGCTTTTGGATGGCCTTCGCTTAGCACACGCAGGAGCGAAATATCAAAACAAGCAAACATGTAACCAACAACAGCAGAGCAAAGAAACAGAAGCTGTGTGGCGCCTGCGGCGAAACAACATGTCTTGCAAGGTCTGTAGGTTGCAAACCAAGCTGCAATGGAGGAAAGACTTTTGATCTTAGTCTTTTCAGACCAAAAGTGCCACAGATCAAGCTGGAATCTGCTCTATTCTCAAATGGGGATTCGGTTGATGATTGGTCACCCCGCATTCATTTGTGATCTATAAATCCAGGGCCCCTTGATCCCATAACGGGAGCCAAGTTGATAAGCACACCCGCCACAAGGAAGATAAGGAAGGGTGTAAATGATTTGGGAACCGGTGCAATCCATTCGAGAGGGCATTTTTTTGGAACCCAGAGTGGTTTTGCCTTGAAAGAAGTTGGTTGGAACTTGTTTCCCCCACATTCTTTGGTCAGCCATTCGTTTCAAGTTTCGCGCGGAAAGTTTGGGCAGCCCGTCGCCATTGCAACCCAGTGACACGTATCATAGTCCACACCTGCACTGTTGCCATGTCTGTAGCTTTTGCGTTTCTTTGGTTCTGCGCAAAACCATGTCTTACTTTGTTCTTTCTGTTTTGGTTAGATGTTTGTCTTTGTTTTAGGTTTTGGTTTTGGTTGAGTTTGGTTGTTTTGGATGTTTTTTTTTTTCCCCCCGTTTTTTTCTTCTTCCCCGGTTTCTTCTTGTTCCCGTTTTTTTTTTCTCCCTTTTTCCGTGGGCTGAACCAAAAGCCGCCGGCGGGTTTTGCCCTCGGTTTCGGTTGCGTGTCGCGGCTTCGCCGCGAGGTGCGGCTGGAGCTCCGGGCCTCCAAGACCGCGGTGCGCTGGTGGCAGGCGCCAGTGCGCCAGAGTTGGGACGCGGGGTGAGACCGGGGGGGGGGGAAAGGGGGGACGGGTGTTGGGGTAGGGGGGGGGGGGATGTTTTTTGGATGTGTATGTTCGAAACCTGTTGGGGAGGGGGGGGGGGTGGGGGGATGCGGGATTTTTAGGTGTATATGTTTGAAAGCCGAAACCTGAAGACGGGCCACACAAGGTTGCGCTGGACTCAAGCTCTGTTTTCATATCCGTTTTTGGGATATTAGGTTTTGGCCACTCCTCATTCCACTGATTGAGATACAAGATGCGGTTTGAGGTGGTGGACTTGGATTTTGATAAGACCCCAGTTCCTTTCGAACCATGGGAAGCTGCGCCCCAGCATGTTCAAGTAGATCAGTAGCAACTGAGAAGTGAAGCACTTGAGGAACGAGGAAGGCGGGAGTGGATACGGACAATCTTCTCGGTGCTGATGTTTCACTGATGCACTCCTTGACGGGCAATCAAAACTTAGAAGTTTGGAGTTTCGAGGGGTTTGTGACGTTTCAGACAAGCACAGAAAGGAACTTGAGTTCCTTTGGCTCATGGGCGCAAGTTGCGAAGTTGCGAAGTTGGCGACAGCGCACGCCAGGCGCTGTTGGCGTGTGCTGCCCACGCCCCGATGGCTGAGCGTCAGAAGGCTGGACAGCTGGACGATTCGGAAGACGTTTTATCATGGAAGTTCGGCCACAAACTTTAGTCATTGTGTGTGTGTGTTGTGTGTTGTGTGTTGTGTGTTGTGTGTGGTTGTGTTGTGTGTTGTGTGTTGTGTGTGGTTGTGTGTTGTGTGTGGTTGTGTGTTGTGTGTGGTTGAGTGTTGTGTGTTGTGTGTTGTGTGTTGTGTGTTCTGGGTTGTGTGTTTGTGTGTTGTGTGTTGTGTGTGCGTGTTGTTTGCTGTTTGTGTGTTGTGTGTGTGTGTGTTGTGTGTTGTGTCTTGTGTGTTGTGTGCGTGTGTTGTTTGTGTGTTTGTGTGTTTGCGTGTTTGCGTGTTTGCTTGTTTGTGTGTTGTGTGTTGTGTGTTGTGGGTTGTGTGTTGTGTGTTGTGTGTTGTGTGTTGTGGGTTGTGTGTTGTGTGTGTGTGTTTTGCGTGTCGTGTGTGGGTGTGTCTTGTTTGTGGTTGTGTGTTGTGTGTTGTGTGTTGTGTGTGGTGTGTTTTGTGTGTCGTGTGTTGTGTGTTGCGTGTTGTGTGTGCGTGTTGAGGGTTTTGTGAGTCATGTGTGGTTGTGTGTTGTTTGTCGGTGTGTTGTGTGTGGTTGCGTGTTGTGTGTTGTGTGTTGTGGGTTGTGTGTTGTGTGTTGTGTGCTGTGTGTTGTGTGTTTTGTCAGTCGTGTGTGGTTGTGTGTTGTTTGTGTGTGTGTGTGTTGTGATGTGTGTTGTGTGTGGTTGTGTGTTGTGTGTGGTTGTGTGTTGTGTGTTGTGTGTTGTGTGTTGTGTGTTGTGTGTTGTGGGTTGTGGGTTGTGTGTTGTGTGTTGTGTGTTGTATGTTGTGTGTTGTGTGTTGTGTGTGCGTGTTGAGGGGTTTGTGTGGTGTGTGATGTGTGTTGTGGGTTGTGTGATGTGTGTTGTGTGTTGTGTGTTGTGTGTGCGTGTTGTGTGTTGTTTTGTGTGTTGTGTGTTGGTTTGTGTGTTGTGTGTTGTGTGTTGTGTGTTGTGTGTTGTGTGTTGTGTGTTGTGTGTTGTGTGTTGTGTGTGTGGTTGTGCGTGTTTTTTTGTTGCATGTTGTGTGTTGTGTGTGGTTGTGTGTTGTATGTTGTGTGTTGTGTGTTGTGTGTTGTGTGTTGTGTGTTGTGTGTGGTGTGTTGTGTGTGGTTGTGTGTTGTGTGTTGTGTGGTGTGTACGTTGTGTGTGTTTTCTGTGCGTTGTGTGCTGTGTGTTGTGTGGTGTGTGTGTTGTGTGTGTTTGCTGTGCGTTGTGTGCTGTGTGTTGTGTTGTGTTGTGTGTGTGTGTTGTGTGTGTTTGCTGTGTGCTGTGTGCTGTGTGTTGTGTTGTGTTGTGTGTGTGTGTTGTGTGTGTTTGCTGTGCGTTGTGCGTTGTGTGCTGTGTGTTGTGTTGTGTTGTGTTGTGTTGTGTTGTGTTGTGTTTTGTTTTGTTGTGTTGAATGTGTGTGTGGTGTGTGTGTGTGTGTGTGTGTGTTTTTCTCAACCGTTTAACAGGCGATGAAGACCTGGACAACTGACTGACTTCTGTATGTAGCTACAGGCTGGCCTGGGACGAGCAATGAGCGGGCGGTTTTGTCACACCTTCGCCGCCAGTGGTGCCCTTTTCCCCCTTCGCTACAAAATAAACCAACAAAAGAAGTGGGCCCTTTTTCCCCATGGCGGGTCCTATTCGGGCTCACAAAACCTGGGTAGGTGCTGGAAGATTTCGCCTCCTTTGCCCTGGGCTCAGCGCGCGCAGGGCTTTCAATGGAGTGAAGCGCCTGGCAGATTGACACGGGGGTGAAGTTCAGTTCCCCAAAGGTGATGGATTGGATACACGCGCTCCAAATCAACACCAGGGTTTGGTTAAGGAAAAATGGGACAGACATGGGCTGGCGCTTCTCTGCTCAGGCCCGAACTGCCAAAGTGCAGGCACCGCACGGGAGGCCGATGATCAACTTCAGTGCAGGGGGGTGGGAATTGACTGCCGTCAGAAGCCAAAAGGAAGGCTTCCAAATGTCCAATTCTTCGTTCAAAGCTGAGGTTCCCTGGTATCTTGCTGGTTCCGAGAATCAACTTCGTGAACACCGACGGTTAAGCCACCAGACTCCACGAACCGGCATCCGCCATGCTTTCGAGACGCCAGGCGCTCGCTGTTTCGGCTGGCCGCCGGGGGCTCTGGAAGCTGGCAGGAGGAAGGGTCCCGGGAGGTATCGAGGTTTTGGCCAAGTTTCAAGGTTTGACCAAACGAGTCCCAGGTATTTGTCACTGGGATTGGAGGGTTCTGCCCCTCCCCTCCTTTTCGGCCTACACCGATGCCGCGGTTCCTTCCGAGGCCCTGGCCGCCTCGCAGGGCTTGTTGCAGGATGCCCGGGTGCTGCTGAAGAGGCGGCGGCACCGAGAATTCGGCGTCAAAACCATAGCCGCGGTTTGATAGGGGCAAGTAATGGCTGACTTCAGAGGCCACCCCACCCCATGGAGGATTTCCTGATTTCCTGAATCTTCAGGGCCACCCAGTTTGATTCCATGGCTAAACGTAATTTGTCACATATCATTTTCTGGGTTTTGAATGGGCAGAGCGAACCGTTTTGGAATGGCAGCTCGCAAATGACTCGAGTTCCAAGGGGGGCCTGGGATTCGGGATTCATGGTTTGTGGTCGGTTAACTTGCAATACTTAGGCTGCTTTGTTGGTGACTGCTGGTTGACGCATTGACTTAAGAAGCCACAACAGACCCGCAAAACGTTCCCGATGCGCCACATTCCATGGCTAAACCAAGTTTGTGGAAGTCTTCAAACTGGCGGGAGCGCCGCCTTTTGGTGCTTGAGGGGAAACCAAACGGACAAACTTTGCTGCCATTTCATTTTAGGGGACTGTTTTGGACCCCTCAGGGCAAAAGGGCAAACAGGCGGGATCTTCTTGGGAATTGCGCCCGCCAGGCTGTCCAGCTACCGCACCACCGCCGCTCAGTTGGGCCTCCGAGATAGAGGTCTTTGTGTTTTCATGTTTTATATGCAAAGGGTATCCCTTTCACCAAGGAAGGAACACCAAAATGAACATGGTGAAACTACTTTGACCGAATTACCCGTAGGAGATGGGGGAATCAAAGTCGCACGTGAGATGAGACTGAGGGAAACCCACAAAACCGAAGCCTTTTCCAGGGTCCGATTTTTGACATACCCATCTGTGTTGCGGGTTTCCGAATCACTTTCCAATATGTAAGCAACAACGTACCTTGCTTAGCGGGTCTCATCAGGCATTGTGTTCCCAAGTGACATTGGGCTTTTGTGAGCACTGCAAAAAAAAATCAAAAGTCGAAAACACGCACATTGAATTGGGGCGCCCGAAGCTTTTGGGGCCAAGGGGCCGAACCAAAGCCGAAAAGGCGCGCGGTGCTGGTGCAGCTCATGCGCCTGGTGACCCCATGGTGCCAACCACAGACCCGAGTGAGGCAGCGCCAATTGGTGGCTCCCAGCCATCCGAATCCTTCGCGTTTTGGCCTTTTAGTTGGTGTAGCGATGGGGTTTCACACCATTTCACCAACTAAAAGTTGAGCTTTTAGCAGGGGATCTGAGGCCATCCCAGTGAGAAGGTTCTACTATCTGGGTTTTATGGTGGGCAAAGGCAGCTATGAGGGTTTTGCAACAGGCCAGGCTACAGTATCGGGGAAGATGGTTCTTGGGGAGGGCAGGGGGGGGCTAAGATGGCTGCAAGTACCTTTGCCATTTCAGTAGAACCAACAGTCAATGGGTCATATGGCTGTGTCAAAACAGGGGTGCCATTGGAGGCTTTCTCTAGTTGGCTGATTTACAAGGGAGTTTAAGGGACACCACTCATTGTAGAGTTCCCTCATTGCAAGACACATATGGCCCATGGCTATGAATTATAACGAGGAATACGCTCCCCATGGTTGGGGCACATAGATCCGTGCCCAAATGGTGTCCACCAAAGGCTTTGCGAATAATGTCAAACCGTGGCGTTCCTTTTGGTTGCCGCCCAAACAAGTGTACCCTCAAAAAACACACCTATATAGTGACCTAAGAGTGACACTTGGTGGACTATAGTTGACTCTCAGTCTTCCTTAGTCTGCCTATGTTCGTCAAGCTCACCAATTCGGGCGAAAGCCATGACGAAGGTTTTCTGTATTCGGGGAACCCTTGTTGCAGGTTATGGGCATGTTGGTGACCATTTCCGACCAGTGATTATTAGTACCTTATGCGTGCAAGTGTCTTTTGGTGACTGTGAATTGGTGGCTATTCCATGAAGGACTACCAAGGCCATGACCGTCCTATGGATCCCCATTCTTTGGCAAGGATTTGAGTTCGATCGGGCCCCCCGGCAAAGACAAGGTTATCTTGACCACCATTTGGCCCGTTTGGCGACTATTGGACTCTCCCCGGCATGCACCGGCTTGATTGGAGCCCCAGCCCCACACAAACCTCATGCAGTTTTTGTGGCTATGCTCCCTTTCACTTTTTGGGTACCTCCATGGTACGGGGTTCACCAACCTCATTTGACCCAAGTAATTTGAGTTTTTCAGGGAGCCATCGCCAAGCATAGATACCACAGATGGAGGCAGCTGTTCAAATGTGATGCTCCCTATACTTCCCTTTTAAGCCAAGGGAGCCGTGTTTGGGGAAGCTGCCTTTGATACCAACTGTTGCTTGTGACTCAGTTTGCGAGGTGCAATGCCCGGCAGGAGGCTGGGCCAGTCGAGTCATCGCTTTGCTCGGCTCGTTCGCTGCACTAGCCAGACAGACGGCTGCTCATTGCTGGCCCGTGCGGATGCTGCGCCAGCGGCCTGGGGTGCGTGTGGACGCGACTCTGCGAATGTCTTTTTTGAAGCAATGAGACTGAGGCTGTGGCGACTGAGATGCTCCATCCTCTCATTTGAAGGACAGCTGCAGCCGTCACCCGTGTCTTGCAAGTTGGGCCGGATGTCAGGAGACTCTTCTGCGGTCGAGGCGCGCGGGGTTTGGCCGGGGAAGTTTGGTTGCTCGCGCGCCTAGGACGTGCAGCAGCTTGCCTCGAACCCCCTGGTCCGCGCCTTGCGCTCAGAGGCATACGTCACTTGCTTGCGCGACCTGAGTTCTCGGATGCCTCCCGGGCGGCTTTGCGATGCCACCTGCCCGGCGCCCGGGAAGCTCCGCGACCGACGAGAGATGGGCTCGCGTGGAGTTGAGGCTGCTGGCGCGCAGGGACCAGACTGTGGGCCTGCAAGAGGCTTGCCAAGAGGCGAAGGGTCTCGAAATTCGTTTTGGCAAAAGGTTCCATGTCTAAGTTCCAGCTGATCAACCCATGACATGCCTTGTTTGCAAGGGAAAGCCAGAGGAAAACAACCTTGTTGGTGCGATGGGTAGGGAATGACTTTCCAGGGTGTTGGGAATGAACCTAGGGCCACCACCAGTTGAATGGCTGAATTCTGGGGGGTCGTTCCATTTCTCACTCCCTGCCTCTCAACCAGCGGAGGCCGCGCCACTGGCAGCGGCCCGTGTCCGCGACTTGCCGGTGCCCGAAGCTCATCGCTAAGCGAGGGGTACGGAGACGAATGCCGGGGGCCTCTCCTGTTTTTGAGTGGCACCTTTTCTTTATGCCTTTGAGGGCTTGCCCTGTTTGAGTCAAAGCCCAGGCGATATCCCCAGCAACCCTTCCGGAACTTCTTCCGCCCTCAGCTGCTCTGAATCATTCCAGAGAGAGCAGAGACCCTCGCCCCACTGTCAGCTCTGGATTTGTTTGTTTTGGCCTTGGTTGGGGCCCAACCCAAAAAGGAACACACATTGGCGGATTGTCGTTTTTTGAGGGTCCCCCGTTCTTGGCGGCTTTCAAGGAAAACCCAAAGGAGAACCACCGTCCCCTACCAGTGCACACAGACTTGCGATATGTGCAAGTGCTGTCTTTCTGCTGTGCCAATGTATTTCGGTTTCTAGAGAAGTAAACAAGTCTCGAGAAACCAAACAAAAACACAGCCAAAACTGAACTGGGAAATACACAACCCGGCCCAACGCCAAAGTCAAAGAAGATCGAGCAGACCAACGGCAAACCCAACAAGCATTCCTCAGACACGTTTTCAAGATGTAGCCCCTCACTATCCCACGAGTTCTGCGCGAATGTTTTTTTTGGGGGTTTGTTTCCTTGTTTTCTCGAGTGCTTTTTGGTTTGTGGTTTGGGGAAGGGCTGATCCAGTGGGTGTATTTTCATTGACATGAGCTCCTCCTTAAAACTCCAGCATGAAATGGAAGGTCAAGCTGAAGTCTTTTTGAATAAGTTATTGTTAGCTGTTGTGTAAAGAACACTCTATTGGAAAGCACATCCTGTTTAAAGTCTGTTTTAGAATGTATTAAAGTTCTAACATAACATACTGTAGATAGTCTGATTGGATTCTTTCCTTATGAAATCCTACCAACACTCTATTTTTGCTTGTACAGATCTATTTGACAAGGAGTCCTGACTAACTTCTAGATTTAAGATAGAATTTTCAGCAGGATTCGGATTACGCATTTCCTTATTGTGTCCTATATATCCATATCATACCTATATTCTTTAAATAACCATTCGGGCCTTTTCATAAGGTCTTTTCAGATATTTTTCTAATCGTTCACGGCTGCATAAATTCACAAAAAGCAGGTTGAGAGTATGACAAGAACCAAGGAATTTTCTGGAGTTGGGTTCATCATCAGGGCACTGATCCATTGATGTGGGCATGATGATGCAACTTGCTTGCGGGAACAACTTTAGAAAAATGTGAAGAAAGATTGGAAAAAGTTGGGAACATGTTGGAACAAAGTTGGAAAAAGTTTGGGACAAAGGTAGTCAAGAAATAACGACCCCTTAGCCCCCAAAGGCATGGTAACTTGCCTAGTTGTGTGGTCACTGATGTGAGGTTTGCTTGAGGCCACTTTGGTTTAGGTTGAGGGTTGCATGTCATGACAGACTTGTCGAACGGCAAACGCCGTTTGGCTCAAGCGCACATCAAGAAAACAGCGCTGAGTGCGGAACGAGAGTCTAGGAACCACCCCCTGAACCGCTGAGGGATTAACCACGGTCAATCCACCTCTTTTTGTTCAGGGCGCAGCCTTCGGCGCGCGTTTGGGGTTTCTTGCTCTTTTGATTGGTTATCAGCCGTATAGCCTTTCTTTCGGGATTAACTAGGCCCTCCCTCAGCGGTTCCCCCATAAGGGGGCGCGCATGGCCGTTGAGGAAGAGTACCACAAGCGTGGAACTCGCGGAGGAGCCGTGTGTGGTGGGAGCTCCAGGAGGACGTGATCGACGAGGTCGAGCAGCGTTTTGGGTTTACACCACCCAAGCTGCAGTGGGAACCGGGGTCAGAGGTGCAGCTTGCTGCCCTTCGGGCCTGGAACCGGGACGTCACCGAGCAGCGCTGGGAGGAGCTTCACAGGTGGCATCAGCCTACGGCCCTTCGCATCCGGGCAATCCGCGAAGAAGAACGAAGGGCCGCAGCCACTGGCGCGGCAGGTGCAGATACAGTGCCTGCCACTCCCTCGTCTCCGACCCCATCCACACCGCCTCAGCAGCAGCAGGCGGCGCATCCTTCCGTGGCCCAGCAGGCTTCGCCTGCTGAGGCTTGGTTGTCTGCTCCGGCTTTGCCTACAGCGAGGACCGCAGCCCACGGCGCGGTGGCTGGTACAGCTCCGAGGAGAAGGACATCTACGACCTCCACACGGTCAGTGTCAAGGCAAGTTCTGCGAGCAGTTTACTCCCAAGTACCTATTGTGCTTAGGTCTCGCTCTCGGTCAAGAACTCCGACACCGATCCAGGAGGCCGCAGCCCTCGGCGCGGCAGGCGAGTCGAGCAGTCGGGAGCCTTCGGGAACCCGCAGAACTCCTCGCCCGACGACCAGTCGATCCTCGCGTGGCAGATCAAGGAGTGTGCCATCAAGGACCTCGCCAACCGACAGGCCGATCGTGCTGGCGCCAAGGAGCTCGGCCTATCCGACGGTTCGCATCGATCGGACCGGCACGTGGACACTGCAGAGGGAGCAGCCCTCCGGCGCTCCACGGGCATTTTCAGGCCGAGCCCGATCACGCTTGCCGCAGTTCAGTGATCCTCACGAGCTGCCAACGGACGTGTGGCTCCGCCCCGAGGCCTACGGGGAAAGGTCCAGTTCCTCGACCCCAAACTACGGGAACGCGGAGGTTTACCATCTGGCAGACTACTCCGACGGGGATACAGTGCACAACACCGAAGATTTGCTTTCAGGCAGAGCAGCATTCCGGGCGGGTGGGGTATACGAAGCACCGTTTCATCGACCTATATCGACGGCCCCACCTCCGGCCCCTGCTACGAAAGCCACAGCAAAGTTTGGGACGCGGCCAGCGGCGCGGGGAACAGTTGCAGCATTTTTGGCAAGCAGTCGCGGACGTGTTTTGAGCAAAGCAAGATCTTCTTCGCCTCCACGCTCAGCAGCACCGCCAGCCAGAAAGGCTTCTGTCCCTGCAAGCTACAAGCAGCCGCCGGCATCGTTGAGGTTGCCACCAAAAGGGCAGGGAGCAGCCTTTAGCGCTCCAGACCCACCTTGGCGACAACCGCCGAAGCGAGAGCCAGTCACCTCAGCCTCCTCCACCAAGGCGAGAAAGCCACGGGATCCCAGATCCCCCACCTCGGACACCCCTCGCGGACCGGAAGACGCTCAACATCGTTCTGGACTGGCACGGGGTGCTCGACGTGAACATCCGCTCTGGGGGAAGGCTTCACCCACAGATCGTGGACGGATTGATTCGTCTACAGACAGCTCACGGTCCATTCAATTGGATTATTTGCAGCTATTGTGGGGTCGAGCGCGAGCGAACTACGGCACCGGAGATCGCCACAGCAAGGGCACACTTGGCTTACAAGGGCATCTACGTTGGTACAACGCAGTTCACGCGCTCCAGGGTTGGCGTTGCTGGCAAAGCAAACCTTTTGCACGGTTGGGCAGCACATATCCTTGTGGACGACAACGCCACAATCTGTCGTGAGGCGCGACTCACAGGCGCGCACGCTTTCAGGGCGTACCCCAGCCAGGGGGTGCAGGGGACTTTGGACGCATTGATTGCCATTGAGCAGTGGTTGGATCAAACCGACCGAGCGGCCATTCAGCCTGCCCGTGCACTCACTACCGCAGAGCTCCTTGAGGAGGTTCGCAGGTAGTAGATCACCTGGTTCTCACGACAGGGGTGCAGCCGTTGGCGCACCGAGGATATTTTCTCATCCTGTGCAGGGAGCAGCCGTTGGCGCTCCGAAGAGCTGTGGCGCAAAGACGCACGAAGTCACACACATTTCCAATCGCACACAACTGCATTGGTGAGCCTTCACATTTGCATCCAAATTGCAAACAAAAGGTTTAGGTTCAAAGGAGATTCCCCATTATCAATTAGTGAGGTATATCAATCCTTGTGTGACTGAGTGCGTTGCTGCATCATTCAATAATCTACGTTGAGTGTAGCCGTAAGTGCACATCTCATAATCCCACCAGGCACAAATCACCGGCCTTGGAGAGTGCTGCCTTTGGCGCACTGACTTGGTTCGCGTGTGCAGGAAAAGCTATCGCATCCGTGCGGCTCAGGCATGAATTCCTCTGGTATTACGCCCCCATCCGAAGATAGGTCTAGATCCTCACATGGCACAGACTATGATGACCCAGACCTTGCGGGTGCAATGGTGCCAGCCATGTCTGTTGTTAGGCATAACCCTAATAGCCCTGCACCAGGTTCCGATGCAACCCCTGTTAGGCGTATGTTCGTTTCAGAACCATCCTCATCAGAGCCGGCTGGAACGCCCGATCCAACCCAGAACCTCCCAGCTGCTGCATTTGTTGCGGGTGCCGCCGTTCAACGTGCTCACCATGCTTCCGATGTCGCGCTTCAGGCCGCTGAACATGCACAGCAACAGCAACTGCTGGCTGAGCAGGCCCGAAGGGAGGCGGGGGAACTCCGGGAAGCCGCCCAACAAAGGGAAGGGTTGTTTAGGCATCAGGCAATGAACCTTGTAACCCAGGCTCAACAGGCCGTGAGCTACGCACGCGAGCATGAGTTCAATGCGAGGCAGCAAGCCATTGGCGCTGCGGAACAGGAGGAGGCAACCAGGCAACAGGCCGAGGTGCTTAGGCTTCAGGCGCAAACTGTCGTTTCTGAGGCCCATCAAGAGGTAGGTCAGACTAGGGCTTTAGCTGAAAGGTACGCAGCAGAGGTTCGCAACAGAGCTAATGCTGAACAGGCCCAGGCCCAAGCTCAGACCCAATACCTTTATCAAGAAGCACAACGTGCCGTAGCCGAACGTGATGCCACCATTCTAGCTCTGCAAGAGAAGGATTTGCAACAAGCGTCTAGGTTAGCCGAACTTGAAAGGACGGTTTCCCTTTTGCTTGAAGTCCGTCAGCCTCCGACTCGCTCGCCGCAAAGTGCCCCGCAAGCACAAACCGATAATGGTACGGATTCTAATACCCCTCAACCCAAACGGTCGCATAACCGGAGCTCCCCCATTTTGGGCGGACAGGATGTGTCAATGGGTAACC